CTTCTAAGCACAGGTGAAGTCGGCCACCTCTCCTTATCTGCACTAAGCCCGTCGTAAGCTGGAGACCCGACTGGTATATTATAATCTAACGCCATTCGGATCGCCCGACTTACGCCGGGCCTAATTCCTTACTTTACAAAGTAGTTTCAAAATGTAATTAGGCTGCACCGCTTTTGTTAAACACTGAGGGCTGAGCGCAGAGGAGGGGTAGCTCATAGACCTTACCTGTGCTAAGAGTCGGTTCTAGACGAAAGAATATGGTTTTTAACTAAGCCTCAGGATTGAAGGAGCACCGGAGCGTTGATGAGATGATAATCCCGTGAAAAAGCTAGGAGGATATGAGTTGAATATTTTATTGATTTGTTTTCTCACCACCTCGGTGCTCCTCCTGAACTCGGGTCAAAAAACTGTATGTTTCAGGCTAAGAAACGTTCCTGAGCACCTCCTTATATGTGCTCTAGCGCTAAATGTTTAGAAAAAAGCGGTGGTCTCTTAACTACATTATCACTTCCGATTTTCGTATAGACGTACATTGCACGGCGCCAGTACAGCGAAATCACAGTTCCGAAGTACGTACTTCCCTCCACATTACTACCTCTACTCCGTTAACCGGCACACAAGGTTACTGCATTATATATAAGAACGAAATCCTCGTCCTAGCTATAATAAGCCACAAGTTCGGTGTGTTTGTTTGTTTGTATGTTTGTTTGTTTGTCTATCACGCAATCCGGTTTTACCTGAAAAAAACTTCTTTAGAGGTCGGGACAAGTTCGGGATGGGTGGAGCCCAAGACAAAATTAATAGAGCACATACGAACTCTGCGGAGCTCCGCCCACGGAGCTGGGCAAGTGCCGGAATGGGCGGTGCCAATAGTCAAACATCTTATTTTTGCTTCGAAAAAGTCCAGAAACCGAAACGTTCAAAGGTGAGGATTGGGTCAACAAACCAGACGGAGGAGACCCACGTTCTGTGGGCGGAGTTTTCTCAAAATGGGCGGCACCTTTCAGATGTATTCATAACTCCATTCAATTAAGACGTAGAGACCAGGGAAAAAATAAACAGAGTGAGCAGGGCCTTATGCGTGCTGAGCATACGTAAGCTTAGCGAGGCCCCGTCCACGATGGGCGAGGGGTGCGTTGAGACCAAAGCCACTTCTCAAAAATGAATGCAACTTTGCTTGGAAACGTTCTAGACTGCTTGAAAAAAGTGGTTGGATGTAATGAAACAAATGTGGCCAAATCCTTGGAGTGGGCAGGGTTGGCACTAAAGTGGGTGGAGCTTAGATCAAAAATTTATGCCTCTATTCAGAAACTTTCTGGGATGCGGCAAAAAGGTGATAAGGTGTAAGCGAACAAATGTGGTCAAATCCCAGAAGCGGGTGGAGTTGGTACTAAAGTGGGTGGGGCTTAAATCAAAAATTTATAACTCCATTTAGAAACGTGGGATGGGGGAAAAGGGGTGTGGTTCGATTCACGCGTCAATATAATGAGGTCATCGGACAAAACGCCCTAAAACATCATGCCTACCATCATAACGGAAGAAATAAGGACTTATAAGTAGAATAAGTAAAGAAATGACCAACTATGCACGTTTACAGGAGGATAGCATCTTCTAGGATCAAAGAATTGGAAGTTATTCTTATTTTGAACGTTTGACAAGTAAATTGTTGACCTATGAGGTGAATTCTCAATCTCGAAGGTTCTTTTTTGCCATAGTAAAGAGATTTGCTTTATTCATGGAGAAGCCGTGGACTACTGCAAATTTATTTGGTCCATCTCCACAGAAAGGTACTGAAACGGTGCTGGGTGCGCGAAGAACTCTAATGGGGTCGCGCGTGAATCGCGCGCCCCCCGGGGAAAAGTGCTAAGATGTAGTAGAACAAATATGGTCAGATTCCACAGTGGGCGGGATTGGCACTAAAGTGAAGGCTTACATCAAAATTATTAAATCTCTTGAGATGCGTTTTAGAACGCGGGAAAAAGGTGTCTGGAGGTAATGCAAGTAATGTGGTCATCGGGGCCTGACATCAAAAATTTATGAATCTGTCCTTCACACTAACCCTGACCACATAGATGTACAACTAAGGGATACGACTAAACTCTCTCAAAAATTAGGCTAAAAATTCTCTAAAAATTAGTATCCATGGTTCCACACACAGTAGCCCCTTCTACACAAGAGCAGATGCACTACATTAACTTCGGACCCTACGAAATGAATTCTACAATGACCCCGGCCACATATGTGCGTACCCTGTAGAGACGTGTAAATCCCAACAACTACCCGAAGGGGATTTCCTTTTCGAAGTTAGTGTTCATGGCCACCAGCCCAAACTACACAGGGTTTCTTCGACTACATAGACAGCAGAGGTATTTGATTTGGATACATCGGAGTTTTTCATGTCCACACACAACCCGCCCCATTTCACATCCCAAAAAAAAAATGATGGCCGCTACAGAAGTGTGAAGGAAGAGGCTCAGATGATGAAGGTCTTTAATGAAAATCAGAAGCTAATGTGGCCCCGTTTCTCATGGCTAGAGCCCCTAGCGCATGCAATAGCGTGCGTAGCCGCGTGGTGTAGAATAGAGCTGGACCTTCCATATCACTCTTTATCGTAATCATAAGTTTCACGGACGGACGACAGGAAAACCGACATACCGATGAACTGACACACCGAGCTATTTGTATGTGTATGTGTGTATGTGTGTCGACATGAATGTTTGACCGGAAATTCATAAATCCTGTCCCCTGTACCAAGAGTCATCAAATTTTATAAGAGATGTGATCTGGATTTGACTCTCTGAGTTGCACTCGATAAGACGGGCAAGTGAAGTGATGTGTTTTGTTTTGTTCATTTCTTGCTATTATATCACCACGACCTCTACACAGCGAGCTTTGCGGTTCCAATGGAAATGGAGGATCCCGGTTCCCTTTCTCTCGATATCATTTGCAACAAAACCTATCCGACCGCCAATAATCTGAGAATCTAACTAATGATATATCCTTAGAAAAAATAACTTCCATTGACAATGACACCTGTCGATGATGTTTATCACTAGACAACACACGCCCGCAACAGACGAGGAGATCTACCAACAATGCAGGTCTGTAATAACGCTACTGGAGAGGGACATGAGGCAAATAGTTTTGAGTGCAGAAAAACTTCAGAAACTTCATAACGAGATCATAATATAAAACAACTGTAAAATTTGCGAAAATAGGGCAAATAGAGTCATACTCGAAGTAAAGCAAATTGAGGAAGATTCAACTTCCCACCCCATAATGGCCTATGTCGACGAGCTGAGCTTCTTGCTCGCTGCTCTAGACGAAGCAAAGTTCGCGCGAGAAGGGTTAGACGTACAATTAGAGCGCATCACACAAAATACCGAAAGACTTCAAGATTTGACCATAGCAACAAAAGAACAACGCTAACAAACTAGTCCAGAAAGAGATTTGAGAAAGAATTCTGGACTAAAATTTAAAAATCCAAACCCTAGGAGGAAGCTTAAAGGGTCTCACCTCCCGCGCTCTAATGCAAACAATGCGCCCAGTTAGAGAACACCGGCCCGCAATGGCACAATGACGCGACCACCGTTTACGAGTAGACTTTTGTATTGTTTTGGCGTTCAAGTTCTTCTGGCATAAGACGCTTCTAATCACTTGGCGATATCTCTAATGCAACGTCGTAGCTACTCTTCAAAGCTTCTTTCATGTCGCATACTAGTAAGTAATCGCTTTGGTTTCCGCTTCAGTGAGACATCCTACTCGAAAGAACCAGGCTCTATTTCTAGTGATACGCTGGTGAACTTAACAGTGGTGTTTAGAAAGAATATGAAGTAATTGGACGCGCCATTATGGATACAACTGTAGTTTACCTAATGAGGGCAGAGACTGCCCGGTTGTATGACCCATTTCGAACTCGCGAGAATGAAAACTTGTAGATTGTTCGGCGTAGGATATGTTCGCTACTCTGCAATTATGCTACCCAATTAAGCAATCAGAACACGTCATTGTTTCAATTGCTTGATTGAGCAGCATTCCTAGATTTACGAACTAGATTTTTTTACGTTCATCAACTGGGTTATCGACACCTTACAACTTTTGAAGACAGTCATTCCCATGATTCATGTCCTTTGCTCACCCTCAAGCGTTTCTCTTCGCCATCACAATTCGTTGAACCTCATTCCACAACTTTCTGCATTGTATTGTTTAGGGCTACGCCACATCATTGCTCCTTCGCACACCCTCACATGGACTCGCTGCAGCTTCTTAAAGTTGTTTTACTATTCGTGGGAAATTTAGAAAGAGCTATCATTATATTTCATTTGAAGTCGTCCTCAGCTCGACGCAATTTCCAGCCGAACTCTTCGCTCCGTTCTTGGCAACATTTTCTCGTCCATGGTTATGCTTGCCACAAGAGATTGGCGTTGCGAAGCAAATTCTGCGTCCATTACTACTTCGAAGCTCTCTACAGCTTTGGGATCGTTGTTTTTGTGAATTTACAGCTAGTCGATTTGTGATTATTCTCCTCCCTGTTGAGGTACTCATTCTTTTTCGACGGGAAGGCTGTTTTTCCGCCGGCCGGCCAGCGGCCTATGAGAGCAGCCAAAGTGCTGCCGATCAGGTTGCTAGACTGTGAAATTTGTCAGGCTACTTCTTTCCTGTCAACGTGGTACTGCAGATCGTCAGCTCTTGAGAGATACACACTTTCTGGAATCGGCTTTACGTCAAGGCAGCTTACTCGTTTTCGGAGTGGTCAGCTTGTGGCATACAACACACATTGGTGCTACAAATATACAGGGGAGGGACTCTTCAGCAGTATAACCACATTAGTAATTATTATATTAAGCATCAGTGATCGCTCAGAGTGAATTGGGCTACCTCACCTTTATTGCAACTAGCGTTAGCAATCATATAATTTCTAGCTAAAGTTTTTTTTATCCTAATTCGACGAATAGTGTTTCACAAGAAACAGCATGGTAATCTGTTCTCATTTCAGTGAGATGAGCTCTTTCCGTTCCTATGTTTGGGATCCCGTTCTGTTGATTAGTCAAATGGTTTGTATGCAGACCGTTTTCTACACCACAGAAACTGCTGCAATGGTTGCCTTCAGTGTAACAGGTTACACGCCGATACTGGCTCACATTTACTCCATACAGGTGAATTTTCGTTTTTCAATTTTTGGTACCCCCGTTTTTACCACTTTTTGGAAGGCGACAAAACGAGAGCACCATTTCCTTTGACAGGTACCCTCTTTCAGAGACAAGGGTGTTTAAGGTGTGCTACGACTATAGAGGCTCATCCAAGTGTGTCAGTTCAGTTAATGTGTGTATATGTTACATCGTCTTCGTCATAACCGAAAAGATTTTCACGGTTCCTCAGGTGATGATGATAGGGTTTTTTACAGGCTCTCCGGGTAATGGTGGTCGTGCAACTGTTAGCGACTTTTTCATGTGGGGTCGCGATGAGATTTGTCGTCCAACGTGCCAAACAGTGTTTGGATTTTTCGTGTACCCTACATATATTTCATCTGCTCATTGTTATCGTCTACAATCATGCGTTTCCTACACAATTACTGTGGTGGGGTGTGCAAGTGGCTAGTGTTGTAATATGTACACTACTTGGCGAATATCTTTGTATGACCGCTGAGTCACAAGAAATACGTCTAGGCCCACCTTCGAAATACGATCTCTGAGTAATTGATCCAAATAATTTTGCAGTGATGACTGAAATTTTCTGGAGCTTTGAGGCTTATTTAATGTGTTTTGTGTCGAATCGATGTATGAGAGGTTTTTCAAAATTACCAGCATTCTTTCGAAAGATTCATATTATCACTTTTCAATTTTCGATCGAGCAACTAGAGACACACCTAACACTGCTTGTTAAGTGAGAATTCGCAGTGCGTACAAGCACCTTTGCTTCCCTAATGAAGCGTAATTACTTTGCAGTTGGCGAGGGTGCGTCAAAAATGAAAACACAAGTAGACTTTGCGAATTCCGATTTATCATGGACCTTTTATACTACATATAAGATGACAGAAAAAGCAGCTTANTAATCCAACGATCGGAGGATCTTTGTTTGCTGACAGTTTTGTTGTTGTTGTTTGTTAACAGGCCCATCTTGTTGGCGATTCTCATATGGTAGTTCGAGACATTGGTCAACAAAAGAGTCCTTTACGGGAAACATCAGCCATTACCCCCATTTCCCATTGCCTGCATGTAGGCAATCAATAATGAAGATAAAGGATAAAGTTTTTGGCGTTGATCATTCCGTCCGAGGGATGCGCCCACACACTCAACTTCCTTTCAGAATCGTAGTGGCATAATGAGTGCGTATGTGCCCTATATAATGATTTGCGGTGGTCAGCCGATGTAAAGTCAGTGCTTTTATCCTCCCAAAAGAGTCTGGTACCATTTAACCGACCCCGGAGGGATGAAAGGCTTGGTTGAGCTTGGCGGATATCGATCCGGGATTCGGACCCCTGACCGTGAGATAGTGCGCCTCTTGCCACTACACCACCTCCGCCCTAGGCAATCAATAATGGAAGAAGAAAACCAATCTGAGACAATAGGAAGATGGTTCTATCGTTTCTGTGGAAATGCTTATCATGGAGTATTTCTGAGGTTATAGGAGAGTTTAAGACGGCGCAAATCAATATAATTAGAAGAAATCGGATCATTAGGTGGTAGCTGACTAGTTTTTGAACCGCTGAAGGTCCACGGTCCCTGGTTGCGATTCCCATTGCGCCAAACTGATCCTGCTTAAGTTTTAAGCAGTTAACGGTAATTAATTTGCCCTAGCCTCAAAATTATACTTCGCCTATGGTCACAACTGAACGTGTAGTATTAACGAGTTGCATCTTGTTGGGGTTCATGCATATAATTATGTTGTTTTTTATTCAAAATAAATAAATATCACATTTTTCCCAACAGACACCAGGAGAAATCAAAAACAACACCATAACTTGTAAAACAAGTTTAAAAAGACAGAACAAATTGAAAAAGAGGACCACGCTAGTGTAGTACTACGGTTCCGAGCAAAATTTGAGTGTACCGAGAAAACGAGTTCACTCTACTGTAAACCTTTCAACTGAGACATCAAAGCCGCCAGCTCCTGTTTAGACTTTTCAGATGGTTCTTCTGACGTGGACTAAATTGGGAAGAATTGACTCGTTAGCAACGTTTGTAAGTCACCTTTACAGTGTTACACGGCAAAACATGACTTATTTCCAACCACCAAACCTCTATCCTGACTTCACTTTTTTTGGGAAGTTCGTATGCATATTCAAGTCCATTTCCAACCACCGTCGGTTTCTCTTCAATCTGAGACTCGTCGACGAGCTCTGAAGCATATCAGTGCGAGGGATTCTCAAAAAATAGCAAGACCTCGTTCATAGCTTGCACAGAACGTGTTGGAGAAAATGTAAAGAAAGGTTTTCGATTCAACTACTGCCAGGTTTAAAGAGGAAAAATACAACTTGTAAGAATACATCTACCCATAGGATAGCATGAGCCATACATCAAACCAGGGGATGTAGCGGACTAAAAGTAGGACGATTTACAAGTGAACTAATCTGCTCCCACAACAGGCTTAACTTTTCATGACCGACCTTTGGAATACTATCGCGCCGGTCCCACTGAACGAGCGTTGTTTCCTATCATCAGTGTAAAGCTGCTTTATTTACCTACGTCTTCCTGATCTTGACAAACTTATTCAAATGTTGTTTTCCATGGTATCTCTGGAAGTCTTCACAACTTGGCAGCAATACGTTTAGAAGGAGCAAAATAAAGTTTGAGATATGGAGACCACATGGCAAAATCATAGCCTCAGAACAGCTAGTTGGGAGCCTTTTACCTATTTTATTTACTTTCGCGTTTATAAAGCTCGATCGGTGTTTCTTCGAAACGCTAAGAGAAACAGGTAGTATTTCGGATCCTATAGTAAAGAGGTCCCACGTGAGCAAAATTCATGATCATTTCGGCGTATTGCAAATTCTCCCCCAACTCACATTCTACCAGTTTCTGTGAAATGGTCCTACTGACTAGAGTGCGCCTCAGAGCAGAGCATAAGTTTAAGCCCTGTTGAACTGAATCTTTTTGAAGGTTAAATTACAGTTGGGCATGTGTATATAGCAAGACACATACCAATACCCCATGTGTTATCCTCATGAGCAATCTCCTTCTCTGGAGAAGCAGCTGATTTCTCTTCTGTAGCTTCAGACTTCTTCTTCATCTTAAAAAAGTTCCAGAATCAACGAACAGAATTAGCAGTCATTATGATGAGCTATTGTGATTTAGCATTTAAAAATGAGAGATATTCGATATCTTTAGACTTACCTGGTATTCTTTTTGCCGTTTTCTGCAAAAACGATCATCACACTGATCGTTCGGCCTCATTTCATGCCGAGGGAAAAAGTCAACAAGCGCGTTATAGCCCACGTACATGGACACTTCACCAAAATTCAGGAGGTATCTTGAAGGGACAAATTAATTAGTGGGAGAAGAAGAAATATAATAGTAACAATAATATATTACAGAGGTAACATTTACTCAAAGCGAAAGGATGTTTTACGTACTTGAGAGTGTTCTGAACGAGAAAACCTGCTACGACTGCCATCGTCGTTGGCAAAGATGCAGCACAGACACCTTCTCGCTTGAGTGTTTTTTCGTCAATATTTGAAGCAACAACCAGAGGCGGTACACACTGGAATGGAAAGAAATGAAGATAAAGCTCTTCATTTAATCAAATTTAATGACTGATACCAATGAAGATCAGCTGGACAGAATGCAAAGCGATGTAGAAGCTGAGTATGCCTTAGCACACTCGTCACTGTTCAAGCTGTGAACAACTTCAGCCCAACAACTTGCCAGTGATGAGTGCATAAGGACCCGCTGTATCCCACCACTAATTAAGGGCTTACATGTCGAGCGCTTTTAGTAAGAAAGCAGAAATTTCGTTAATTGTACCCAAGCCGTTGCTCAAATAAAAACCTACAGCAAAACATGCAGTCCGACCAGGTTCGATGTACTGAATATGACCGGAAACTGCGTTTTCACTCACACCTGATTCCATCCACACCTGGTTCTCTTCGTTGCACGCCTAAAGTCAAACTACACCCGTAGAGGTGAAACCTGAATTCTTCAAAGAAACGCCAGGCATTCATGACAAGTCCTACTGTGTTGACAGTCATCCGTGCTTCAAAATTATCCACACAGCTCAATACAAGATCCACCTTTCCGCCCGTTAAGGATCCATGTCTAAATTGATCTTTAAGAAAATGATACATTGTAATGAGCGCAACATGTAAAAGTCCTTTGCACCTATTAGGAATGAACTAACCGTATTCTCTCAACGAACTTATTGAAGTTCTCCACGGAAGTTATGTTAAAGTTATGCGTCTCGATCATGACATCTGGATTGATATGCCTAGAAAAACTGCCTCTTACCACGAGGGAGATGACATGCTCGTTTATATTTTAACCTCTAGAACACGAGAGATATCTAGGTAGTTTGTGAGCTGGAACTTTTAGACACTTAGAGCTATATTATGACACTTTTGCTTTGCATACTCCGCATTTAGGTATAGCCAAAGTGCGAGAGCTTCGAAAGACATTTTCGATCGCACGCGAACATGAGATAGCTAGACGTTCAATATGTGGCACATTCTAGTCTTGGCATATGGACCCTGCTGAAGGTGCCTCACTTATATAATGTTTACAAAGTATGCAATCTTCAGTATTGAGAGCTCCTGTATACTATACGAACTAGAGAAATCATGGCAGTCCAGGAAAGACTGAAAGTCATTGTCATGAAGCCCGAAGTTGATAAGATGGTTCGCTGAACCTCGGGCGAAAAAAAGCAGATGAGTGAGGAAGTACTACTACCGTATGAGTTGAAATGTATTGAAATTGTATTTTGCTATATAGAGAAGGGAAAGAAAGTATAGAAGGAGACGGTAGTGTAATGAACCGTGTACTACCCCTAAACGATAATGCTAGGTCACAACCACAGCGAAGCACATGCATTTCATTTCGGGATGACTAAGAAATAAAGGAAACGCTAAAGGAAATACGGATTGGAGCTGAATAGCAAAGGTAAATTGACTTGACTCACGTCAGAGTGTCCTTTGCAGCCTCGACTTTACTAAGTCCTGATTGATGAGGTTGGTAAAATAGTCGATTCATGTTAGCCAACTCCACTTTATCGTAGTCGAAAAGAATGAGCTTTCCGATGGCGCACCTCGTGAGCATTTCGGCTACAACGCTGCCCACCCCTAAAGCAACATTATCGCAAAAAGCTTATTTAGATATAAAATTTCGAATTCCCAGTATCAAAAGAGCCGAGCAAGGGACAATGAGAATATGAATTCAAGAAAACTACCTCCAATCCCAACCACAGCTACTGCCTTTTCCCTTATCTTTTCGTAATCCTTCACTATTCCCATTCTTTTCAGAGCCATAAGCCGACTGTACGGATTGGAATCAACAACCTTAACAAGTCGCCTAAGAATTCCGACCACACGAATTTAGAGATGAGCCTTCACGATTTTTAAGGGAACTAATTCCAATAATTCACCTCCGCACTCATTTTCTCGATTTTCTGCCGCGATTGGACCATTGTAGAGTGATTCAAACTTTTCGGCTCAACTTTGTATGAGCTTAGTTCTGCGGTCAGAGCTCGTACTTTTTCCCGCAATTCCGCTATCGTATGATCGATAACTGACATCTGAAACAGCTGTATAACAAAATAGCATGTACAAGCATTTTGAAAGGTAGTGGAAGAAAATGTAGTTTGCAAGGTGTTGGGGGAGAGGGAAACGGAGGCACCACTCTTTTCCAGCACTGTGCGCTAAAGCAAAAAAAGGAGTAGTCGCCCTAACTCGGGCTTAGAGACAGTTCCTAACCTAAAAATATAGTTTTCACCTAAGCCTCCTCGCGAAGTCGTCTAACGCTCCCTCTCTGCGCTCTAGCGCTCAATTTTTGAAAATAATGTTCCTCCCCAACGAAATTTTCACCAGGTATGTGCATATACAATTCATCTCATGCAGTTGAAACTTAAAAAAAAACAAATAAAACCAGACAAAACAATAACTCAACAATCAAACAATAATTAAATAGAACTCATGAAGAATAAGACGTGTAATTCAAAATACTATACGCAGTAAGAAAGTCTGCTTAACTTACCTTTCAAATCGTCTCTGATAGATCGAAAGTTTCAGGGAAATAGCTTTCCTTATTGTTCATACGTTGTACGTCTGTGCAACAACGTTTAAGTGACAGGACCGTACCACCGAGTGGGTGCTATCTATTTCCACACCCCCCTCCTCGCGGTCTGCAATTACGTATTAATTGCAACTACCGTAACACTACGCTTGGTATTATCCAGTCATAGACTGACGAAGAAGATTTGCATGATGTTTATATGAATAGATCCGCTCTTTTTTCGGCTTTCAACTTTTCACTACTCTTTTTGATATTGGTTGTCTGATTCGTTTTCATGTTTAGCTCTTCTTTCTCCAATTTACAGGTTAGCACATTTAGTTTCAATGAAGACCATTTCCACCTCCGCCAACTTCTTAATTGTTGAGCCTATCAGATTACAGGTTCATGACGCCTATAACTGATTGCGTAGCGGGACGTGAGTTCATGAGTGGGTACACTGGACACAGGGTATATACATATTTTATTCCTTACATAAATATATTAAACTATAACATGACTGGGTGAAGGGGGAGGCCGGGACAAGTCGGCCAGAGCCGATACGATGGGCAAGCCACACAGAGCTAGACGCTCGAGATGTGTGGAGGCCAAGTTGCCGGTATCTGGCTCGTTTTATAGTGGCCCCGTATAACGTCCGTGAACAGGTGGTCTCGTCCTGATGGCGGTTGGTCAGCGAGGATACGACATCTCCATTCCTTACAGTAAGCTCGTCCTCGAGCTTCAAATAAGCTCTCAAGCGGTACTGTACTTCATCGAGGAGAGAGATGGAAAGTTGATGAAAAAGTATGGAGTGAATACGTATCCTAGAATATCGTACTGCTGTTGATCGTGTAGTAATGTGGACGAGACAGGTGACAAACTGCGTTATACAGAAACAGCTAGAAAGTACTAAAAATGGGTGTTGTCCATGAGGGCTCTCGCCACACCTTCGAAAAGGCTCGACCTCGAGCCGAAAAGAAGTGGTAGGGTAGTGATACGGATAAACGTTATAATAGTGTCGTTCGATGTAAGCGTCATATAACAACATATGTATGGGATTTTGACGAATTGGTTGCAGAGGTGATCAGTTAACCTATGAGTTATCCTTATACACCATGATAATTGAAATCGGTCTCAATAATAACATAGCAAGGCTAATTCTACGAGTTAGACAATTCTTTTGATCTATTGTATGTGACAGGGGTTACAGCGAAATAAGACAATATAACAAGGCTTATGATAACTTGACCAAACAAAATGTGCCGTAATTGAAGTCTATAACAGTAGCAAAACCAGGACGACTTATGTTAAGTATTTTCGAACTGGTATGTAAACTGTGATACGAATATCAGTCTATGCACACTGAGGTTCGACTGATATACGGACATCATCCAAATACTGTGTAGCGAATACTAGTCTTGCTGAGAGCGACTAGCATAAGGGCGTATTACTTTTTTTGTTTTTGAGATTAGAAAAAAAGTGGGGTATACGCTGCGTGTGGTCCCTTTGAACCGCCTATTCAAAGGGTTTTCGAACGAGTCGCGACATTGCGGCAAAATTGGAATAATATGTTTAAACTTATTATTGGTGGCTGTCTATGACGACTTTTACAGGAAGATTTCTGTTTATCTTCTTCGTAATTCAGCGTTCAAGATATGTCTTATCTCCTGAAAAAAAAAGGCGAGAGCGCCTGATTATTAATTGTTTCATACCGTCTGATGCTTCCTCATCTAGTGACACAAGTGCTTGCTGTGATAAGTTGAGGTGGAAGCATTAGCTAGTGTGAAACTGGAGAATAATGCTTGAGGCGATGAATGAAAAAAACGCGATTATGGCGTTGAAAATATAATATGATGCTGCTCCTTAGAAAAGTTTTACTGTCTTACATTCTCTAGACGTGGTCTCTATTAGAGTAAGATATTGAATTAGCAAAAGCTTCAAAAAAAAAACGAGGATCAGAAACGATCGTAGCCAGGGTGTTCCCGCCTGTAACGGTATTTTCGCCTTGGGTAATGGTCTTGATGAGTCATGGAAAAATTTGATTGCTCGTGTGGGGCTAGAGCACTGAGAACTTCGTCGATTTTGGCTATCAAAAGATTATCAGTTGGAGCGCTAGTCTCTGTGTCAGTAAGGTTCCACATTCTTTCAGCGTCGTAAACTAGACTCTCGTAGTCCGTGGGTAATGGGCCAAGAAGTTTTAGTCTTTGTTTGATTGGATTTGGCAGGGCGTTAGTAAAAATCATGCTTTGGAGGAATTTCCGTTCATCAGCCAAGTTAGAGCCGGGGTATGCGTCTAAGATCTCTTTTCGTATTCTATTTGAAAGTACGACCGGTGATTCACCAGGATCCATTCGCATTCCCATAAGTTTCTCCCTAGCCATGTCAAGAAAGTGGTCAGTAGAAAAATGTTCTTTTAGCTTGGTTATTGCCCTTCGCCAATCACGTTTATCTGATTCAGGCAAGTTTTCGAAGACTGCTTTTGCGACTCCTGTTAAATGTGATGGAAGAAGGCGAACCATTTTAGATTCCGTTAAACCCATTATATTCCCTATTTCATTGAACTTCTCGAGGAAGTGCATTAACCCTGCACCACCTTTGTCTCCAGAGAAAACAGGGAGCCTAGTTGCATATGAAGATAAGCAAAGTTTGTCAAAAACAGAATCAAGCCGATCGGCAATATTGTTGCCAGCAGTGTCCATGTTATCGTTATTTTAGATTATGTGAAAAAATCTTTTAGGGAGGGTGAAACGTCGATAGGTTGGCGGTGAGGACGTGGGTTACAAACCAGAAAGTAGTCGTTACTATAAAGTGGGGGATCTATGTCTCGTTGACTCTTTTATGGTTGGTGTCGGTGGGCTGTTAGGGTTTTGGAAATGGGAAAGTAAAATAAAATAATTCCCAGGATCAGTACTATAAATGTTGAAAGAATAGGATACCCTGTTAGTGGGTTAATGAAAAGAGACTCACGCAAGTGTTGAAGTTGTAAAGAGCTATATGTAGTAGAACCTGGTAAGATAGAAGCTGGACCACTGCTCGAGGTGGTCGAATGGGGCGGAGCCAGGAATTCACTAGCTTATATATATGCGGGGTCAGACCATTGTAATACGGACGTGATACATTGTAATATTACCTTTGCCTGCTCTGGGTCATATGGGATACATTACCTTAATGTAAGGAATAGTAGGATGTTATTAACCCGGTGACAGGCTTCGGCATTGAAACGTGCTATCACAAGCTGAAAAATTTTACTCAGCTTGCCCTCAACTGTTTCCAAAATTCGCTCCCAAGATCACCGCAAAGTTATTAATAACCTTTTTATTTTCAAATGCAGCAAAGTTATTAATGACCTTTTTATTTTCAAATGCAAGAGGGTTAACTCCATCATTATCAACCTCCTTGTGCTAAGGAGCAGAACCAAACAGATGTGTCTGACGAGTCTGTACCTTTTTTTTTGAAATTTGGGCTACACAGAAGGAGCTTATTAACTCTTAAAATCATGTTACCCTGTAAGGATGTCCAGCAACCAGTTTTTGGGTGGTTTTCGATTGATATTGGACAGAAGGTGCTAATTAGTGGCTCCATCCGGTTTACATTGTGCCATTTTTCCGGCATAGGCTTTGTTACCTAATAAATACCTGGCATCTGGGCGTGAAACTTCTTTACAGAGACTTACGCATGTTATTATAATCTAGACCTCAAAGGTTATCACTTAGATGTGTTTACCTGGGTGATGGATTAACAAAGAGGAGTTACCGTAATCCAGACCTCGAAGGTTATCACTGAAATGTGTCTACCTGGGTGATGGATTGGCAACGAACAGCCGGCGAGAGGCTGCTAACTATTATTGGTCACAACTGTTATTACATTGCATAGGTCACTCCCTGATGCTCTAGCTTTTGCTGACCTGCGATGACCGATCGTAAAAGATCGTTGACTTCGTGAACAGCTGCTGAGCGGCGACTAGTGAACCCAGCTTATTTGTAAAGTGTTGACCTGGGGTCTCGCCTCGAGATAAACGATCTCGATTGGATACGAAGTGATTAATAGCAGTCCTTCTGACCTGCTCACTATAGTGGTTCTCGAACACTGCGAGCCGTCCACCGTATCCTACAATAATGGGAAACGAGATTAGCTACTTCTCGTATTATATGCGCATTTCAAGCAGCCTGTCATGCCAGTTCCTGGAGGGATGGAAGGGTGGCAGAGGGGCTCTTTAATTCGACGTCATAATGGCGAACGAGTCCTTATATGATAATTTATATCGGCGTAAATATGTGAAAGAAAAAGAATTATCATTAGCTAGAATTTGTACAGTCTCCCTACCTTCTGGACTAGTTCCTAGACCAGAAGTACTAACATAGGGTCGTGGTCATGCAGAACAATGATTTGCGGTCATTGTCTGCCTTCTATAGGTAACATAAGATAACTTCTATAATATATACAAAAGAAAATCTGAGGGCAAGGTGTTTATATTTTTTTTATTTTATAATAATTTTTTTTTCTAGAGTACTTCCTCCATAACGAATT